TGAGGCCGCGGGCCGCTGTTGACCAGAGGACAGAGGTTTCTATGGAGACCAGGGGAACAGGAAGCGTGGGGCCTGGGGGCTGGGTGGGGTGCCCAGCAGGAGAGCCTGTCACCAAGTATCAAACCAGCCAGTCCAGCCACCTCCTGGGTCATACCAGGAAACCGAGGCCTGCGAGGGGACAGCTTTGCACATGGTCACACGGTTCTGGCCCAGCCCCGCCTGCTGCTCTCCCGGGGAGGGCCTACACAGTCATGAGGCCAGAGAGACTCCTGGACAGGCGGGCTGGGGCCACCGTGGCATGTGAGGCCAAGCACCGTGGGAACGCTCGTAAGCGGCCCCGGGTCTTGAGGCCACCTCTGTCTTTCTCCTGGCCCCCCGTTGTCAGAGTGGGCTGGGCGGCAGGCAGGGTCCGGCAGTCACTGCCGCCCACGGGGCGCAGCAGCCCTTCCCCCACACTGACTGTGGCCTTTGTTTTCTGGGTGACACTAGCATCAGGCGGTGTGTCCGGGTGACTAATCTCCCAGGCTGGGCAGCTGTCACAGGGGAAAGCTGACACCCTGGCTAGTGCAGACCAGCCAGGGCCCCGACAGCAGGGCAGCCAGGCCCTCAGCCCTTCTTCCCTGGACACAGGGGAGACCATGAGTCTGGCAAACCTGGGTTCTGGTCCCAGCTCTGCCTCGACTGGCCACGCCACCTGTAGTGTGTTTCTGCACCTCCTCAAGTCTCAGTTTCCTCTTCTCTAAAGGAGCCTCTGGTCCTGCCCACTTCACAGGGGTCAAGGGAGATGATCAGTTCAAGTCTCAGCCCAGGGCTTGCCACTTGGTGGTGTCAGGAGATGGGATCGTTGCTCTTGTTTATAGTATCTTTAATGACCAGAAGGTGTACGCCCACCAGAGAAACACAGAGGACGAAGAGAGAGCCTTCTGTAGGCAGTTACACCACACCCTCCTCTCCCACTTATTCCAGGCATGCACTGGTGTGATTTTTCAAGCCACTGTGTCCAGGATTTGAACCACACCGTCATCCGTGTGGGATCCAGCTCCCTTAACCACCAGGCCACCTGTCTAGCCCGAGGTGGTCATTCTTATCAGGGCTCCTTCTCGCCCACCCCAGCCTCACAGCCTGCTCTGTCTCTGGGGTGCAGCCTTGCTGTCAGGCCGACGTGGGTTCTGACACAGGCGGACTCAGCCCTCAGTCTCCTCATCAGGAACATGGCGTACACAGTCCTCGGTTCTCAGGATCCTCTGGGTTCTAGAGCGAGGCTCAGCCTGTGTCAGCCGTGACAGCATGACTGTCAGGAGGAAGCCAAGCGTCAGCCCGCCTAGAGCTCACCTCCCACCCCTGCGGTCGTTTGGCATCGTAAGAGCACTGCCCTGCCCTCTCTGTAGTGACTGCATGTTATCAAGAGCCAGGCATCTCGAGAACTCCTTCCCCGGGCATGGCCGCCTCTGCTGCCCACAGGTCACAGGATCCCTGGCATCTGGGCCCTTCCTGATGCTCCCTTAGCCCCCTGCGCTGTCCTGAGCTGCCTGCTTGAGACACATAGGGCCATCGCACACCAAAGAGGAGTGGGTGGGCAAAGGCATCTCTACCTGCACCCCCTCCCGCACCAATTGTCAGGACGCCCCACCGAGGCTGCCGTGTGCCAGGCCTTCAGCAGACAGGAGTGTCCTGCTGTCGGCCCAGGCGACATGGTCCCGTGCCTGCCGGGGGTCAGGATGACGGGAGAACACCTCACCGTGGGCATCCCGCCACTCTGCAGGCTTCACTGCCCCAAACCTACCAGACGGCCTGCCTTCCCTGACTGGCAGGGACCGCGAGGGCACAGGCCCACGAGGAAGGACAGGGCAGGGCAGGGCAGAGATGAGCTGGTGAAGGGGTGGAGCCCACGCTCAGAGCAGCCTCAAGGAGGCTGGGCTGAGAATGGTGCCCTCGGCCCCCGCCTCCCCCCGAGGGCGCTCCAGCAGCTCAGTGCCCAGACCACGAGCACGGAGGCTTCCAGTGTCCAGGCCTGCACGGCGTGCAGCTTGCAGGCTCCCTCGGCAGCAGGGCTGGGAGAGTCTTCAGGTGTCCTCCGGGCATCCCACGTGGGACAAGTGCCAGCAAGTTCTTCCCTTGGGCACTCCAAGGTGCAGGTGTGCGCACACCCAGCGCTCGGAGGCTTCCTCTGGCTCGCGCCTCTCAGGACATCCCCCCAGTGGAGCTGGCAGCCCCCTCCTTGGCGAGCTGCTCGGTTCTGAGACTCTCCCCTGGGCCTTCGACCCCTGACCAGATGATGACCCTCTCCCATTCCTGGGGCCGAGAGAGCGTGGGGTCTCATCAGGACTGAACTCCGCTGCAGACAGCCGTTTTATTATCAAAGCTTGGTGCGTGCCATGCCCCAGGAGGGAGCCCAAGCTGCCCTGTGAGAGGGAAGGCCGGGCCCCAAGCCCCGGGCCCCGGGCCCCGGGCCCCGGGCCCCGAGAACCAGCAGGCCCGATATCCCAGTTCTCTTCTCCACCAGCTCCTTGCAAGGGAGGTGCAGTCCTTTAGGCCCAGGACTGTGTGGATTGTGCCTAGGCAGGGCAGTGCACGGGGGCTGCAAGCCTCTCCTACCCCGGACTCACAGCACCTTAGGGGTGTGCCTGGGGCTCCCCTGAGAAGTCCCTGGGCCCCTCGAACATGGTGGTCATGGGCTGCGGCTGTTCCACCCCACCCTGTGTCCCTTCTCTGCTCACAGGGCAGAGGCCATGAGGGGTTTGTGGGGGCAGGATAGACAAGGCCTAGCCCAGCCCCTCATGTGCCCGATCTCTGTGCCCAACAGCCACCTGCCTGCCCCTACCATGGACACTTTCTTTAGGAGACACTTCCGGCGGAAGGTGCCAGGTCCCGGAGAGGGGCAGCGGCGGCCCAGCGGCGTAGGGCTGCTCACGGGCAAGGCCCGGCGCCGCTCCCCCGCTGGGCAGGCCTCCTCCTCGCTGGCCCAGCTGCGGGGCTCCAGCACACAGCTCCAGGGCTGCCTCCTGGCCTGCGGGGTGGGGTCCCGGAGGGCTGGCCGCCGGCGCTCCAGCACTGTGCCCCCAGCCTGCAGCCCTCACTTCGTCGTGGATGAGATGCCTGCCACTGTTGGGGCCCAGCTTCTGGGAGCACCCCTGCTGTTGGCCGGACTGGTGGGCAAGGAGGAGGAGAGGGTCCCGGAGAAGGACATGCCAGCTGGGGCACTGAGTACCATCCAGCCGGGCACCAAGACACCCCCACGCCAGGGCAGCCAGCCACTGCTGCCCGTGCCCCGTTGCCTGCGCCGTCGCCGTGCCTCCTCCCACCTGCTCCCTGCGGACGTGGTGTACGAGCCTGCCCTCTGGGGCCTGCACGGCTACTACCGGCGCCTCAGCCAGCAGCGGCCCTCCAGCCAGCACCCTGGTGCTGGGGGCCGAGGAGCCTCGGGCATCCTGGCTGGCCCCACAGTGCCCACCCGCAGGCGCCCACTGTCCCGCAGGCGCCAGGTAGCCCTACGGCGCAAGTCGCCCGGACCCCAGACCTGGAGCGCCCTGCTTGTGTAGGTATAGCTGTGGCCTCCGGGGTTCTGGCCTGGGGCGAGGGCCTTGAGGCCCTGCCTGGCCCAGAGGCTTCCCTCTTAGGAACTGCTCAGGGCAGTCTTTGAAGCCCCGGAGCCGGGAGGGCCGGGAGAGGGGCTGAGTCTCCTGTAGGAGTCTGCCACTGTCTGGGGCTGCCGGGGCTCGTCTGCTTCCTTGTCTTGGTCTCGGGGTGAGGGCAGAGACCCCAGGTGGTAGGGAAGGAAGGAAATGGAGTCCACAAGTGCCCAGCTGGTCCCCAGGGCCCCAGCTGTCTCCTCTTCTGCAGGAAAGCCATCACCAAGTCGGGCCTCCAGCACCTGGCACCCCCTCCTCCTGCTCCTGGGGCCCTGTGCGGCGAGTCAGAGCGGCAGATCCGGAGCACCGTGGACTGGAGTGTGAGTGTTGGTGCCAGCAGGGCGCACCCTCTCCCACTGGGCTCCAGGCCAGAGTAGTGGGAGGGAGCAGAGGAACCCCACGCTGCTGGGAGGGGAGCCCATGGGCCTCCAAGCGAACCTCCCCAGTGTGACTACATTTGAGCCAAGCCTTGAAGAGCAGGGACTTGGGGGGAAACAGGACAGAGCACTCAGGGCAGCTGCAGCAGGTTCGTCTTAGGAGAGGGAAGGTGGGCAGGACAGGCGCTGATAGGTAGGCTGGGCAGTGGGTGTGCGCTGAGCATGCTCATCTCACGGCCTAGGAATCAGCGACTTATGGGGAGCACATCTGGTTCGAGACCAACGTTTCGGGAGACTTCTGCTATGTCGGGGAGCAGTACTGTGTAGCCAAGATGCTGGTGAGTGCTGTGTGGCATGCTGCCCCCTAGTGGTGGAGCTGGGCCTAGGACTGCTGCCTGACAGCTGCAGCCCTCCCTGGGAAGGTAGGAAGTAGCTCTCACCTAACACCTCTGCTGTGGGCTGCCCCAGGATGGCAGGGAGGTTGGGGTTCTGTCCTGATGCCAGGCTCACCGGGCAGATTTCCCTGCCTGCAGGATAGTCCTACCTGGTCCTCAGGGCCCCTCTCTCTGTGCCGCAGCAGAAATCCGTGTCCCGGAGAAAGTGTGCAGCCTGCAAGATCGTGGTGCACACGCCCTGCATCGAGCAGCTGGAGAAGGTGAGAGGGGCCGCTCCACCTCCCTGCCCCCCTCGGAGCCGAAGTCCTCAGTGCCCACACGTGTGCGTCTAAACACATGTACACATGTTACACCTGCCCGGAGCGCCCCAGTGTGCGTGTGGTGGAGAGTCAGGGGCCCTGGAGCCAAAATGCCTGCGTTTGTATCCTGGCTCCCTGTATCAGCTGCCATATCCCCACTGCTTAGGACCAGCCTTCAGAGGCGGCTCCCTGAATATTGCTTGGGGCGAATGAGTGATGGCCGTCATGCCATCTTGTCGTGTCCACACTAATGCTTAGAGAAGGTCACCCATGTGCTGCAGCCTCATCACTCAGCACGGCCGAGCTAGTCCCGTGTCACTCCCACACCCGGCTGCCCTACACTGCTGGGACAGAGACCGTTCCCCAAAGACCATTGTCACAAAGCGCCTGCAGCTCAAGCGGGAAGTGGAGGGGACTCTGGGTGGGCAGCGGTGCAGGGCAGGTGGGAAAGCTCAGCAAGGCTGAGGGCCGCTCTCCCTGCCCTGAGCTGCTGAGAGGCTCCCCTGTCGCCCAAGGCTGCAGTCGGGACAGTTAGTACTGGGAGTGCAGCCCAGGCGTCCTAGGCTCATGGTCTGGGGTGAGCATGGAACCAGGCTTTGCCGAGTTAGCCAGAGGTCACCAGAGGCCAGCACAGGCCTGTACTCAGGGGCCAAGGGTGAGAGTGCTGGAGGGTGAGGAAGATGGACACGAAACTCCAGGCTCTCCCCCACCCCAGAGTACTAAGCAGAGGAAGGAAATGTCCCTTCTGGCTGATGGGAGGAAGCAGGGATGCAGGAGGGCTTCTGAGAGGAGGCGTGTCATTTCCTGAGGACTCCCCAGTTGAAGTGGGGCTATCCCTATCTTCCCTGCCTTGTGGAGATGACTCCAGGTGACCTCCTGAAGGGGGTGGCCATATACCTGACCCCAAAGGGGGGCTCTCACACGTTGATCCTGCAATGTTTCACAGATAAATTTCCGCTGTAAGCCATCCTTCCGTGAATCAGGCTCCAGAAATGTCCGCGAGGTAAGTGCTCAGGTGTTTAGGGATGCAGAGGTGCGGTGGGGGGGCTTCCTGAGTGGATTTCTCTGCAGAGTCTCCAGAGTGCCACCAGGGGGGCTCTGATCCTTCCAGGGGTCTCCAAAGGGGAGACCTGACTGGCCCGTCCTGCAGAGGTTGGGGCGAGGCCTGGCTCACTGCCGCCCCTGAGCCTTTTCCTGCCCCGGGCCAGGCCATGGAGAAGAGCCTTTGACCCTCCTCACCTCATGCCCTGCAGAGAGCTCCCTGACATACCCAGGGCTGTGCCCTGGGCCCACCACCTCTCTCTCCAGTGCCATTCCTCCCTCCTCCCCCAGCCCACCTTCGTCCGGCACCACTGGGTACACAGGCGACGCCAGGACGGCAAGTGTCGGCACTGTGGGAAGGTGAGAGGCCCTGCGTTCCCCGCGGGGCTGGGCCCTGGACCCCGGACCCCGGCCTGTGCTGTGCAGCCAGCGTGGCCTCCGCTCACCCACAGGCCTCAGAGTGCAGTCCCGGGGCCGTTCAGCTGGGCTGCATGGCCCAGGCAGCCTCCAGACAATGAGCCTGCCCTGGGTCTCGACCGAGCAGGCGCGCAGGGAGGCAGGCCTCCCTCAGATGCGGTGTCCGACCTGCTCTGAGGGCCCGAGCAACCTCTCTGATACTCGCTCGGACTTCCTCTTTCATTGACTCCCATGTGTGTGGAGTGCTTGCGCGTGCCAGTGCTGAGCTGGGCGGCAGTTTCCTGCCCTCCTGAAGACAGAGTGGCTCAAAGACAGACCCCGCCGGCCCCTGTGCAGCGCCTACGCTGTCTCGTCGTGCACTCGTTGTGCCGTGTCCGGCTCCAAGGTGTAGGGGCTCGTTCTCCCACTTACTTTCAGGGCCCAGCCCAGAGCCTGGCACGTAGTAGCTGTGTGCGGAATAACTGTTTGTGGAATGAAGGCAAGTGGCAGTGAATTTAAGAGCCACTGGCCTGGCCATGTCCTGCGGGCTAGGCAGAGGGGACGCTGCATTAGGGGGTTGTTGCCTGCGGGTCCCCAGCAGGGTGCACATGCACCCAGCGCTTTGCAGGAGGCTCCGGAGACGCGCGGGCCCCTGGTTGAGCATCCCCGCTCTTTGGGTTCTTTATAGTTTTTTACATTAAAGTGTTCAGTTTCCCTGGGTGGAATGGGGCTGGCTAGCAGCTCCAGGCCACCCCCAGTGTCCCAACCATCCCATCCACCTGCAGGGCTTCCAGCAGAAGTTCACCTTCCACAGCAAGGAGATCGTGGCCATCAGCTGCTCCTGGTGCAAGCAAGCAGTGAGTGACGCTGCCCACCCCCAGGCCGTGCCCTGCGCAATGCTGGGTGTGGGTCCCAGGTCTCCGCTGCCTGCGCTCAGCCTGGCCACGCCCCTCCTCTAGTACCACAGCAAGGTGTCCTGCTTCATGCTGCAGCAGATCGAGGAGCCCTGCTCCCTGGGGGTCCACGCGGCTGTGGTCATCCCGCCCACCTGGATCCTCCGTGCACGGAGGCCCCAGGTGAGGCCCGCCTGCACCCTAACACCTCCACACGGGTCTGCCAGCCGCCCCAGCCTGCCCACCTCATCACCAGCTGCCCTGCTTCCCTTGCAGAATACTCTCAAGGCAAGCAAGAAGAAAAAGAGAGCATCCTTCAAGAGGAAATCGAGCAAGAAAGGGCCTGAGGTTAGACCCAGGCTGGGCAGCAGTTGGAAGGGGACAGGGGAGGGGGGCCTGCTGCTGTCGCTGCCAACTTGAGCAGCTCAGCCTGGGCTCTGCGGCCCTGAGGATGGGGAGGGAAGATCCCATTACTGTCTGGCAGACTCCCCTCAGGTCTGACTGGACATGCACGTGAGGGTGTCCCAGGAATACGGTGTCACCCGAGGAAGGGGGTAGGGTCTCCAGGAGGAGACCGGGCCTCATGTGCTCTTTGTCTGAAGGAGGGCCGCTGGAGACCCTTCATCATCAGGCCCACCCCCTCCCCCCTCATGAAGCCCCTGCTGGTGTTTGTGAACCCTAAGAGCGGGGGCAACCAGGTGAGCACAGGACCAGCCGGTAGCTATGGGGCCTTCCCACGCCTGTTCCCAGCCCCGTTTCAGGCTTCTGCCCTGATCCTCATCCCCAGGAACCCTGAGAAAATCTGCCCCACCCCTCCCCTGTGCCCTGTGGGTCCTGGTTCCCATGGTCACTCCCTCCCGTGCTCCCCCCTCGCCCCGCCTGACTGCCTCCTCATCCCCTCTCTGTCGGGGTGTTCCCCCACAGGGTGCCAAGATCATCCAGTCATTCCTCTGGTATCTCAATCCCCGACAAGTCTTCGACCTGAGCCAGGGAGGTCCCAAGGAGGCGTAAGTACCTGCTGCAGTTCTGTGGGGGCCAGAGGGCGCCGCCTGGCCCTGTGGGCGCCACCCTGACCTGCCCTGTCTGCTGGCCCAGGCTGGAGATGTACCGCAGAGTGCACAACCTGCGCATCCTGGCGTGCGGCGGCGACGGCACGGTGAGGAGGTGCCCACGCGGAGGGGCCGAGCCCAGCGGGCCTGACCG